ACTAGCTTGCTAACTTCTGTGCCTTCAGTTAGGATTAAAAGGGCTAGCTTGCTAACTTCTAAGGCTAACATGGCTTTCTCTAACACTTTCCTCAATGATGCTACCGCGTCAACTAACAAAGATAATGTATTTCATATGGTGCCGTGTGGCGACCACGTACGTAATTTTACGGGTCAAGATGAATATCGTGTGGCGCATTTCATTCTTGCATGTGAAGACACTATGAGCAATGTCAAAATTACCAGTGATGAAGATAAAAAGTCGTTTGTGCGTTCCAACATTACACAGGGATCATTTGCTAGCAATCCCTTAAATGCGAATGGCTTAACGGCCCCTGACTATGAAAAATTTAAGTGCACCGTCATTGGAATTTTTTGGGGAAAGTCCCATTTGGGCCAAATGCAATGGATCTTTAGGTGGCTGGATCGTTGTGCTCCAGTGGTTCACGCAGAAACACCTATGGTGGCAGTTGATATTGCCGGGGAAGTGCGTCAGGATATGGAGGCGACCTTCCGGAATTCGAATTGGTATGAACAGGATGGGAGAATGTCAGCGACAAATGTGGAAACACAAATCGAATTGATTAGTTTCCTATTAGTAGTTCGTCGTCCTATTTACGGCCGGGCACAGGAAGTGCAGTTTGTACCACCTACTGATATGGTGGATTACGCAAACAAACTTTGCCCACGGTTACGGGACCTTTGATGGCGCGTCCCTCCCAGACTACGATACCACCCTAGATGCCTCAAATAGCACCCTTGGCTCTCATTGCACCATAACACCGAACTTCCAAGCAACGTCGATCAACGAGATGTACCCACTGTAATAAACGGGGCCATTTGATTGATGATTGTTTTCAGCTCCAGGGTGGTGGTGCTAAAGCAACAGGAACAACTGGAGCTAAGCAGGTGTCCAGGTCATACTCGGAGGCGGTTAAGGCTCCGCCTCCACCTAGCCAGACATCACGATCGTGGTGTGCACTCCACAAGTCGACAACTCACAACACAGAGGAGTGCACCTTAGTGTTGAGGGTCTGGAATTTAGACTATGGTGTACCCCAGGTAGCGCAGAAGTGTAAACAGCATGAAGAAGGGTAGATACACTGTTGCCTGCTTCCCACAACACTTCTATAACAGCCTCGTTAGTAGCGGCGCTTAGTAAAGTGGAAGTGTTGTCAGTGCCGGTGAAAGTTGGATAGTATAAGATTGGCTCTTGATATTGATATGGGTGCTTGTGCAAATGTTTTGGCCTTGACATCCTATCAGGAGTTACAACGTAAATTCCCTCACCGTGATTTGAAATGGATACCTACTGACGCCGATCTCGAAGGAGTATCTGGCACGCAGTTCAGCATTAATGGAATGGTGACGTTACCACTCAGATTCTCAAGACGTGGTACTCCCTTCTACGTGGACTTTTATGTGCTTCAGCAGTTTAATTTGCCAGCTGACGGGTTACTTGGTCTCCCACCCCTTAGAACGAACAAGATAGATGTTCGTCCACGTAATAATACTATTACGTTTAAAAGTGTTTCCTACAGCGCTATGCGTCATTCTGCACCTTTGCTCACCACTAGATCGAAAGTTTTATCCACCATTCCCACTCAGAGGAAGGAGAAAATTGTGTCAGAGCTAACCCAAGACCTCACAGCCTCACTTTCCCAGCGTGATTATAACAGCAACAGTTGGAAGATCGTACCTGCAGTTTTCAAGAGTACTCTCCATTACCAGAATGAGGAATTTACCAAAGCAACTGTCGAATTACCTGACGTGTACACGGGCACTGATGTTGTATGTCTCCCAGAAACGTGTAAGGTAAAAGGGTTGTCGTGAGAGTCGACGTTAACCACGATACGCCCTGGTGGTTTGACAGACGTCCTAGTTCTGAATAGAACAGGCGTTCAAAGGATATTAAAGAAAGGATGATATTTGTATGATTTTCTAATATAACACACCAATGTCGAATTACAGCCTACAAAATTCCCAATTGGTAGTATTGTTACTCAATCCCAAGAGACTAAGCAAGGGAGGATAGATCAAATAGCGCAACATGTTAAGGTGATCGATCATCCTGAGACCAAGACACGCTTTTTAGAGCTGCTTGCTGACTACAGAAATATTGTAGCCTTGCCAGGGGAAAAGCTAGGTCAGACAGATTTAACATCCCATCATATAGCGTTAAAGGAGGGAACAAATCCTATCTATGTACCAGCTTACAGACTGCCTCATAGCCAGCATGCTGTAGCTCAGGATATGGTGCAAGATATGTTGGATGAGAATGTTATTAAACATTCTAAGTCCCCTTTTAATAGCCCTTTATTCCTCGTCCCGAAAAAGGATGGTGGATGGCGCCTGTTATTGATTTCAGGCTCGTTAATTAATGTACGATCCCGGATAGGTACCCTATGTCTGTCTTGAGCGACATACTGCAGTCCTCAGGTAAGGATAATGCTGTATTTAGCAAATTAGATTTGTTTGGTGGGTATTGGCAGATACCACTCGATGAGAAATCACGAGAGGTCACGGCGTTTAGTACGCCTCTGGGCCACTTTGAGTTCCCCCGGATGCCATATGGTCTCAGGAATGCCCTACTAACATTTCAAAGAATGATCAACACACTGTTTGCCGGATTGATTGGTACAACAGTCTGCGCTTATTTGGATGATCTAATAGTAGTCAGTAAGGATGTAGATACCCATCTGACTAAACTGCGTGAAGTGTTGGAAAAACTTTCCACAGCAGGTCTTAAAATTAAACTTTCAAAATGTGAGTTATTAAAATCCAGAATCCATTTCCATGGTCATGTAGTTGACGATGAGGGCATACACACAGTAGATGATAAAGTGAAAGCTGTATCTATGTTCCCGCGTCCTACACCAGTTGATCAAGTGCGTAGTTTTCTTGGTTTATCTGAAGATTATCGCTCTTTTATCAAGAGCTATGCAACATTGGCATCACCCCTAACAAGGTTGCTGAAGAAGGATGCAATGTTTATATGGGACGCTGAACACGAAAATAGTTTTGCGGTATTGAAGATAGCGCTTACCAATGCCCCTGTTCTAGCATTCCCTGAATACACTCAACCTTTCACCCTCTATACTGACGCTTCTGGACAAGGTATCGGAGCCGTACTCATGCAAGATTATACGTGTGGAAAGTTTAGAGTGATAGCTTTTGCAAGTCGTAAACTTATTGATGCTGAAACACGTTATTTGGTAACGTATTTGGAAACGTTAGCCGTTGTGTGGGCACTTAAGAAATTTAAGGACATTATCTTTGGATATAAGATAATTGTCTTTACGGATCATGAGGTAGTAACTGAGCTGTTCCATGGCAGAAACCTATCAGGCAGATTAGCACGCTGGTATCTGACAATTCAGGAATTTGACCCCGAGTTTAGGTATTTACCGGGAAGGGCGAATGTTGTCGCCGACGCGTTGTCAAGAAATATAGCACCAGTGATGCCTGTATCAACGTTCACTCTTTCACAACTGGAGGAGGAGCAACGACGCGACTCATTATGGTCAGCCGTCATTTTTGCTCTAGAATCGGGTGAGGATGTTAAACTCCCCAAATTAATTCTTCCCTTAAGTCAGTTTGAATTACGACATAACATACTCCATAGGTCGAAAAAGACGCCAGAGGGTACTGTTTCTCAAATAGTCGTACCTGGAACTTTGTGTGAAACGATTTTAACATTGTTCCATGATGTTCCAAAGGCGGGTCACGAGGGATGTGGCAAATGCTTGGCGGAATTAAGAAAGAAGTCTTTCTGGAACACTATGAAGAAAGACATAGAATTACACATTGCTAAATGTTTGGCTTGTGCTCAACATAAAGGTTCTACAAGATCACCGGCCCCGATTCTACAATAGCCTACACCAGACCGTCCGTTTGACACAGTCGCTATTGACTTGTTACAACTTCCGAGGAGTCATCAGGGATTCTCGTACGTCCTAGTGTGTGTGGATCATTTTTCTAGATTCGTGGTTTTGGTCCCACTAAAGGATAAAACAGCCGATTCTGTGGCTTATGCCTTAGTGATGAATCTTATATGTCCATATACTACGCCTAAAGTTCTTCTCTCTGACAATGGGACAGAATTCGAGAATCAGCTAATAGCGCAAATTTGTACGCAATATGGAATTAGGCAAAGTTTTGTGACAGCTTATCATCCATAGGCTAATGGCCTTGTTGAGAGAACCAATCGCAAGATCCTGGCCATACTTCGCCCGATTGTGTGTGATTTGCAATACACATGGGAAGATTGGTTACCGCAGGTTGCAGCGTCTATTAATGGGTCGATTAATCACCATACTACATTGTATATGGTACAGATAAACGTCTACCTTATGATGTACTTACGGACACGCCGAACCCTGTATATAATATGGATGATTTCGCGGCAAAACAAATCCTTTTTTTTTACGGATATTCATTGCCAAGTACGATCACATTTTGCAGCGTCACGCGCTGAAATGATGGTGAAGCACATAAACATGCTAAACCTGTCGTGTTAGAGATAGGAGATAAGAGAACCTGAAAGGAACTCCAAGCTTTCGGCTAAATTTTCAGGTCCACTCCGCATTATCGCAAAAGAGGCGGGCAACAAATTTAAAATTTGGAAGCCTAACGCACAGATCGCAGATGTCGTGAATGCGGACCGTCTTAAGAAGACCCATGAGAATTTATTGCCCACAGTTGATGGTGATGTGATAGACACCTCTTTACAGATTGTACAGAAGCAGAGTGTGCCTAATGATTATTGTATGAAACTTCGTTCTGCAAGTAGATATTAAAACGAGTGTACTCTCTTGCAGAATGGCTTGGAACATCATTGTGTTGCTTCTATTGTGTTGTGGCACCGTTGTGTTGACAGATATGTCCACATCCGTCCTCAAACCAGGTGCGCTTGTTGCACCCCTGGGACGCGTTCTCATAGTGGAGGACGTGGTGAACATCAAGTATGAGTTACATGCACTGCTCCAGCTTCCCCGTCAGATGGAAAATGTCGACGCGCAACTACAATCAGCATTGGACATCCTACATGATCTCAGTTCAGCTCCTAATGTATCGACGATGGTTACACAAACTATTGACCTTCAACACTTTCGACTCATGGACCTTCGCAAGTTTCTCGTCGCTGTTGGAAAAAGAATACCAGCGTCTGAAGTTGATCTTGCAAAAGAAGTGCGTTCTCAGACACGACGAAAAAGAGGTTTATTTAATTTTGTGGGTCTTATCCAGAGCACTCTGTTTGGAACGGCAACGGCCGACGATGTAGCTAAATTGGGTAACCGGATGAATATTGTCGATCAAGCTGTATCTCAGCAGAATCGCGTTATATCTCAAACATTCCATGCGATTACTGCTTTAGAATCAAAAGTTAATGCGATAATATGGGAGTCTAACCATGTACCGAGGGTTGTTAATAAGTTAAAGACGTCAATCCCGACGATAGAGTGGCTCCTTTATTTCACGGAATATTTGCATGCTGCTGAAATTTCAGTTCAGAAGATTGTTACCTGTAAAAACGAACTAATTGACAGCATAGTAGATGCAGGGATAGGGCGTGTGGATGCAAAGCTTGTGCCTGTACAGACGCTTCTTGATGCTTTACAGATTGCCAAGTTGCAGTTTAACTTAACTCCTATTTTTAATGATAAGGAGGTAGAATATTATTACCCTCTGTTGGAGTCGACTCTCACGCACAATGCTATTCTCATCCACATACCTATGCGAGGGCATCATCAGTTTAATGCATGGCATTTAGAACCCTTCCCCTGGTTTGTTAACGGCACACTGTATACTCTGGATAGGCCTAAAGAACTTTTCCTTGTAGATGAAGATTATTCTTTACTGGCATTAGAGGATCCTGAGGTACTGTCACTGTGTAAGTCGTCATATCTACGCCTACACTTATGTCCAGCCTATATGTTCACGTTTATTCCTGCTGCAGAGGGAATATGTGAATTGGCAGTCATACAAACCAATGTACGCACACGGGCCGGTGGAAGTTGTTTGGACTTACTTCCTTGCCCCCATTAGTCCCTGTTCACCTAGCAGTAAAGTAGGTATCTGGTGTAAATCGAAAATTGCGAATTCGTATTCAGGGAAAGTTGTTGGAGCTTCCAATAACTTCATGACATAAAACCACTGACTCTTCAGGCTTTTACGCCCTTGACTCTTCAGGCTTCTACGCCCTTAACTCGTGAGACATAAAGGCAAGCATGAACTTAGCATGCTTCCCTCTTGGGCGCTGTAAACGCTTCTGCGCTTCACCTTACACAAGGATGCAAGGGGGTGCCCAATAAATAATTTAAAAAAAAAAGAAAAGAAATGTACGCACAGCACTTGCGCAATGCAGCTATAGGCCAGTTAGTGTCAAAACTGTGTTTCACGCTCTTCTCCACAATGTACAGTATTTATTCTTTCCAAATATAACTACTGTTATTTTAAAATCCCATGATGGTGTTAAGCAGCTAGTTGTGAAAGGTTGGCTCCGGATTATTGTGAAATCACTTGTGGTTCATTACGGACCTTGCCCACTCATCAACACTTTGCCTTATATATAAATCTCAAGTCTGCTTTAATTCCAATGTATCCTGTCATGAACATTACTGTAAAAGATATTCAGATAGTTTCAGAAAAATTGAGGGTAATTGCATTCTTGAAAGAGACAAAGTATATGCTGAGTAGTACTTCCAGTGCCCTCTCGGGTAGGTTTAATAGCATATTTCTTGTTATGCCTGTGATTCCTGGTGCTTTCTCTTTGAATTTCCTCAGGTTGTGTAGGAGTTCTCCGAGTGTTATTCGTTGGTGTTCTGGTAAAGTATTCATATATATGGTATGGTGAGGAGTAATGCTGTGTATTTGTCTTCCATTTTTGTCTTGATCGTGTTTTCGTGTTCTTCATGGAAATCCTCATTTCTTCCTCCGACATTCTGAATATTTTCCCCCAATCCGCCTGAATGGACGTTCCTGTTCCCTCTCACCGTGCAACTTGTGTCCGTTTTGATCTTTTATGTATGGAGCCTTTTGTTTGTTTGTCTGTATCCATCATTTTACGAATAGATGTTCAAAAGGATTTTGGGTCTTTTGTGTGGTCGGTCGAGGCTACTAGGTTGTTCCATTTCTTGTTATTAATTTCCCTTTACTCCTTTCTTAATTTTCTTTGTAGAGCTGTCTGTGCAGTGTAGAGCCATCTAGATGGACCGAATCTGTCTGTATATTTACCTAATTCGTTGTAGTGTGTTTGAAGTAGTTTAACTTCCTCGGTTGGCTTGTTACTGGGAAGTTATAGTCGATGCCGAAATTTATCCATGCCAAACAGAAGGCAAGATGCTGGGGCTAAGGGTAACGAAAAGAGGATACATAAACTTTCTGAAAGATAAAGCCAAGGCCGCAAGGGTAAGACTTGCGAAAAAAACAAAAAAAAACAGGAACCTTGGCTCAAATAACAAAAAGAAAATAAACACAACACTGGTAAAATAAACAATGGACTACCCACCAATTCCACTACAAATCTTGAGCAAAAAAAACATTATGTCCTTACAAATAATCCAAAACAAAACCCTTAGATTTATTTACAACATGAAACGCACAGACCGCATTACAAACGAACAATTACACGATATAGCAAACCTCCACGCTCTAAACGTCTAAATCCACAATAAGGAAAAAATATTTGGAACAAACTATCAGACCTAAACTTAGAAACTTATCAAAACTAGTATTACGAACCACGCCATCTATTGTGTCATGATCTAACTACCCAGCACTACCGAGCAACGCCATCTAGGGACGCGACCCGAGTATGACTAGTCTTAGTCACCACGCCGGGTTTCCTTTCTCCATATCCTGGTTGTTGCGTCACCTCCTCCAACTCTTCCTTATCAGCTCCGGATCGAGGAGAGTTCAGTTCACTCTGGGAAGTGACCACACTTGGATTACCTATCCTGGAAACCTACGGCACAGTGACTACCTACCATCTTCTTCAATACTCAGCCCTACTTGTCAGACACTTCAGCACCGCACTTGAGTATTGTAACCCTATATTACCTCCCACCTCCACTTGCTTCAGATTGTTGTATGTTGTATAAATATGTATATACTGTTAAGCCAATGTTGCGTATGTTTAAGTTAAGTATGGTTAAGGGTAAATTATAGAAAGCTGGATATTTTGGTAAGGAATTTATTGTACTTTATTATACACAACAAAAACTCTCATCCTTTGTCTACCCTTTTATAGTCCGATTGTCTTTGTTTGTTTAGTTTTTTTATTGTTGTTGCCTGTTGGGATCTGGGTAGACTTTTAACTATATTCTAAACCAGTTTCGAAATCCCCAACTCGTAACAAATGGCGACCCTGACAGGACCCGAACTTAAGTGCCATATTTCTTCCGCCCTTGTTACTCCTTGTTAATTATTCCTCCCAGTCACTTCTGTTCAAAATTGCTTTACGGTGGTTTAAAGTTCCCTTCATATGTGTGTGCATATATTGGTATTATCGTACAGTAAGAGTGACAGACGTATGATATTAGGTTCCGAGTGTCAAAAGGCTTACCTGTTATTACACGTAGGCAGTCGTGTAGTAAGTCTTATCGAGTGTAGGGAAGAATCCGGATCTGTTTAATGCCGTACCCTCGCTCCAGAGTAGGCTGTTCCATAGCCACTAGTTTAGGGTGAAGTGATATCTTGGGACGCCCCTCTCTACCAGGGCCCCATAATTATAAAGCCTCAATTTTTGTTCTTCTCATTATCTCATTCAGGGTCAATAATAAAGTAACTCAAGGGTTGTTTATCCGGATCTTTATATTAATGCCGTAATACGCCCTTTCTTTTTCAAGTATCTTTCCAAGTCTCTTATCCTTATTTAAGGATCTTATCAGAAGAACAATATTCATAAGTGTAATTTCCCTAGGTATAACTTGGCTAGTTTCCTGGACTTTCTGGTTATCCACTGCCGTGATATTTTCTAGGGTAATCCACTTATCTTATCTTTTGGCCATTAGTTAATTTATCTAGTTTTCTTAACAATGACCACCTCAGGTTTTGATCTCCAGGATTTTATTGAAAATCGTTCCGTATCTAAATTACGTGTTAATATCCTGAAGAAAGAATGGAAAGGAATAGCCACCTATTACAATATCCCATATTCACAGCAAATGACTAAGGAAGTGTTAAAAAATCAGGTAATTGAAATGTTGGTTCAACAAGAAGTTTTAGAAGAATCAGCTGTTGACCAATTAACGCCCATGTCCAATACACTTCAACCACTATCTACCACCCCTCCTCACTCAGAAGTTGCCTCAGGTCTGGCTAGCCCTCAAGAAAAAACACTAAGAGTAGACGCCTTAGAAATAGAACGAGCTAGGTTCGAGTTCCAAATCAAAATGAAAGAACTCCAGTTGGAGCATGAGTTGGAACAGGACAAGTTAGAGCAGGAGGTTAGACTGAAAGAACTACAGGTGAAAGAGACAGAAGTCACCTTAACATCGGAGTTTAAATCAAAAGAAGTGGCATTAAAAGAGAGACTAGCTGCTTTTAACCCTGCTAATGCTTCTTCCCTTGTTCCCGAGTTTGATGAATCCGATATGGACGGGTCATTTAGGACTTTTGAGAAAGTAGCCGGGAAGAATGAGTGGCCTAAGGACCAGTGGGTGTCGGTGTTAGTTCCTAAATTATGTGGTAAGGCTCGTAGAGTTTATAAATGTTTAGACCAGACTGATGACTATGATAACGTAAAAAAGAATATCCTCACCTCTTATGCTATCACGCCAGATGGATATCGGCAGAGGTTTCGTAAACTAACCAAACCATTTTCACACACCTTTGTTGAGTTTGCTCAAGAAAAGCTTAGGTTTTGAAGAAGTGGTTAGAGGCTACAGAGACCTCCACATTTCAGGATTTGTTAAACTTGGTAGTCCTGGAGGAGTGGAAGAGCAAGATACCATTTCACATCTTGAAGCACGTGGAGGAGCGTGGAGAGGTTAATTTACGGCGTGCGGCTGAGGTGGCTGATGCGTACGCCTTGCTGGTGGAGTCACTGGGCAGTAGGAAACGTGGTACTTTCCAGCATGTTAGGTCCTCCTCTGATGATAACCTTGGGGACGTGAGTGGTAGGTCGAAAGGTCCCACACCTACCCCCCCTGATGCAACCAAGTTTTATTGTTCTTACTGTAAAAAACCAGGCCATACGATCCAGTTTTGTAAACACCCGAAGTGTCGAACTTCTAAAAGTAGTTCCCTGGATCCCAAATTCAAACCAATAGCAACCACCAATGTGGAGAGGCCCCATCAGGATCTCTTCTCTTCATTCACCTATGAGGGAAAAATTTCAATCATAGAGGGGTCTCGTTCTTTCCCTATTCGTATACTACGTGATACGGGCGCAGCACAATCTATCCTCCTGTTTAACGTCATTCCTGATATATCTACAGCATTTACTAACGAGAGTGTTCTAATTTCAGATCTCTCATCCCATTCTTCCTATCCCTTAGCTAAAGTGCACCTCCAATGTCCCTTGATTACTGGGGAAGTGCAAGTAGCCATTAGGAAAGATCCAATGCCTGTGAGCGGCATTCATTTATTACTGGGTAATGACTTGGTAGGAGATCTAGTGGTTCCCAACATAAAGACAGTCGACTCTCCCTCAACTGTCAACTCCACCACTGTCCTTGAAGAAACTATTCCTCACCTTTTCCCATCTTGTGCTGTCACCCGGTCACAGAGTGTGCGAAATGGGCCCTCTTCATCTAAAACCACCTCCAATATCTTCCTACCCACAGAAGATCTGTACAATAAGACCATTAGTAAGGATGAGCTCATTAAAGCCCAACAATCTAATCCATCTTTGAATAAACTTCATCATGCGGCAGGTGAGGGTAAAGACCAATTTTACAAGCAATCTTTTCAAACAGGTGATGAAAGACCTCAGTGTGGACCATTGTACGTCTTCGGCTTACCACCCACAATCCCAAGGTTGCTTGGAACGGTTCCATTAAACTTTCAAATCAATGCTAATAAACTATCTCCCCTCAACTATATAGTCCATACTCCTGATCGCAGAAAAGATTCACAACTTGTTCACATTAATCTCATGAAACTTTACCATTCCAGGCAGTCAGAGGAAGACATCCCAGAGGCTATAAGCCTACCTGTATTGCATACGGCTTTGTCAGGGCCGGAGCCGGAGTCAGATGACATGGACCAAATGGAGAATTTAGACTTCCCTCTACCTAAAGAAAACCCTGCTAACAGTCACTTACTCAACAACTTGGATGAGTATTTTTCTGTTCTCAATCCATCTCAAGCAAAAGATCTCACTAAGTTATTATCAACATTTCCTAAAGTCACGTCAGACCTCCCAGGGTTTTGCAATATACTTAAACATAATATTAAGCTAATCTCAGATGATGTACAACCCATTAGGCAATCAGCATATCGGCTAAATCCACAAAAAAGAGAGATTATGAAAAAGGAGGAAGATTTTTTGTTAAAACATAACTTAGCTGAGCCTAGTACCTCCCCCTGGGCTTAACCTTGCCTTCTCATTCCAAAACCCGATGGCACCTTTCGTTTCTGTACCGATTATCGTAAAGTGAACCAGGTCACTGTCTCAGACTCCTACCCTTTACCTTTGATTGAAGATATAATAGACAGCATAGGCTGTGCCAAATTTATCAGAACCGTGGACCTATTGAAAGGATATTATCAAGTGGGACTCACGGATAGGGCAAAAATAATCTCTGCATTTATAACTCCATTTGGTCTTTTTCAATATTTGGTTATGGCGTTTGGCTTTTCTAATGCTCCGGCCACATTCCAGAGGGCCATCAACTTCCTAATTCAAGACCTAGGTGGGACGTTCGCCTACCTGGATGACCTGGTGGTGGTGTCGGACAGCTGGGACGAACATCTGGTGCGTTTGGAGATACCGTTCGCACGACTGCAAGAGACTGGATTCACCATAAACCTGGCTAAATCTACTTTTGGCCGGGCCTCAATGACTTACCTGGGACATATCGTTGGGCATGGTATGGTGAGACCCAAGGACGCAAACGTTAAAGCCATCTTGTCCTTCCCCACTCCAAGGACGAGGAAGGAACTCATGCGCTTCCTGGGGATGTGCGGCTACTACCGCCGGTTCTGCAGTAGCTTCTTTAGCGTGGCCGGACCCCTCACAGACCTTACCAGTTCTGCGGTCCCTTACATCTGGAACCAGAGGTGCGACCAGTCTTTCCACCGCCTCAAAGCCTTCCTTGCCTCCAAGCCTGTAGTCCACCCACCTGACTACACCTTGCCCTTCCATCTGCAAATCGACGCTCACGGTGTCGGAGTGGGGGCTGTGCTCCTACAACCCGACCCAACCACTGATGTCCTTCACCCTGTGGCATACTACTCCGCCAAGTTGAAAAAACATCAGACCAACTACTCGACCATAGAATAGGAGGACCTGGCTCTGTTGTTGGCAATAAAGAATTTTGAATGTTACCTCCAATCTCGCCCACAAACAACCCTTGTCTTCACCAACCATAATCCGCTCACGTTCATCCAAACCAACAAGACCTCCAATCAGCGAATCCTCCGCTGGCCTCTCCTCACCCAGCCCTATAATCTACAAGTCCGGCACATAAAGGGGGTGGACAACCTGACTGCGGACTCCTTATCCCGAGCTCCAGTGGAAATGCAGCAGCTACTCTCCAGACTCACCAGGTGATCACCTCCTTCGCGCCCGCGCTACGGAGGTCTTTGGAGGGGAGGTGTATTACGAACCTCGCCATCTATTGTGTCATGATCTAACTACCCAGCACTACCGAGCAACGCCATCTAGAGACGTGACCCGAGTATGACTAGTCTTAGTTACCACGCCGGATTTCCTTTCTCCATATCCTGGTTGTTGCGTCACCTCCTCCAACTCTCCCTCATCAGCTCCGGATCGAGGAGAGTTCAGTTCACTCTGGGAAGTGACCACACTTGGATTACCTATCCTGGAAACCTACGGCACAGTGACTACCTACCATCTTCTTCAATACTCAGCCCTACTTGTCAGACACTTCAGGACCGCACTTGAGTATTATAACCCTATATTACCTCTCACCTCCACTTGCTTCAGATTGTTGTATGTTGTATAAATATGTATATACTGTTAAGCCAATGTTGCGTATGTTTAAGTTAAGTATGGTTAAGGGTAAATTATAGAAAGCTGGATATTTTGTTAAGGAATTTATTGTACTTTATTATACACAACAAAAACTCGCATCCTTTGTCTACCCTTTTATAGTCCGATTGTCTTTGTTTGTTTAGTTTTTTTATTGTTGTTGCCTGTTGGGATCTGGGTAGACTTTTAACTATATTCTAAACCAGTTTCGAAATCCCCAACTCGTAACACTAGTTAAATGAGGAGAACGACAACGAAAGAATAACAGAACACGGTTGGTTCAAATCTAGCCAAAAAATACTAGGAGGACCACCCCCTTACCTATCTTATACTTAAAGAGAACAATAAAATAAAAATAACTAACAACAAAAAGATGAGAGTGACCTGCTAGCTCCACAAGAACATGGCAGGGCTCTCCACCAACTTTTTCTTCTTTATTACAAGATGAGAGCCTTCTACCAGCTCCAGAAGACATGGCAGGACTCTCCAACCAACTTTTAAATACTCTTTCTTAAAGCACCCCTATATGCACAAATCTTCTCCCGTGTTACTAACATTCCTTAAAAAAAAAATCCACCTGCTCCAAGAGAACCTGGTAAGATTCTCCAATCACCTCTATACATAACCTTTCTATAAGCAGCTCTATCTTTACAAACTGTTTCTTCTCCTGTATTACTACTATTAAAACCACGTGTATTTATTGTATAGTCACAGAAAGGTAGCTAAGAAAGGTAGAACCTGCAACAAAACCCATGCAAACTTAAAGGTTAAAGCAGATAAAACGAAACACAAAAAGTAAAGAATAAAGGTAGGACGACCCAATGATAAACAAAGGGAAATAACAACAAGAAAAACTTCATGCAGCGATCTGGTTGAGTCCAGATTCTTTTAAACTCTACACTCTATATTTCTATCCCCCCCCCCCCTAATTCCTAGGTCTTCCTTCTTTTTTCCTATCTTAACTAAGACATCAAGATGAAGACTCTTTAGTTTGTACTCACCCCTGAAGATGGGAATTACACGAAAGCGTTTGGGAACTTCGTGTTTTCTTGTTCCCTATGTGGTTATCAGCATATACATGGATCACGTGCACCTTATTCGTCATGGAGTAAGAATTGTCTCCTCACTACCTCGCCGTAACTAGCACCACCACCACCACTACGGACCAGTTTTACCTACCAAACACAATGGAACAGACTGCCAATGAGCTTGTTAACCAATACTCTTCCTAACCATAACATTTAAGAATGTTAATATAAGTCTCAATTTTCATATTCGACGAAAATTTGAACAAGGCAAGCATTAGATGTGAAAGTATATAGATATATAAGGAATTGCAAGTTCTTACCTATCACAGTTCACACGAGGCTTTGGTGGTGGCCGGGTGACGATGGTGTGACGGGGGGGGTGGGGGGGGGGGGTCCCTTCCTCGGTGGTGAGGTTCAGGCCAGCCCCACCACCATGCTATTGCATTAATGATTCCCAGGACGTTTCGTTCCGACAATGATATTGTAGGTTATGTATCTATGCTACTCGGCACAGTAGCTTATTTACAAGGTTGTTACTTGGCACAGTAGCATTTATATATGTAATTACGTGGCAACACTGCACGTGTTATGTGGCAACATTGCCCCGAGGCTGCCATATGGCAAGGCAGTCTCAGTCTGACTCTGTGGGCCGTGCATGGCACATGCAAGTCACCACTTGTATTTCTCCTATCCCTTAATAAATGGACTTCAGTGTTACCCGGTGTTTCCCTACCCATCACTGCTTTCTTCAGGGAACACTTGGAACCTTCAGATATAATAAAGTGTTTTGGGCTGCTTCTAAACTTTTTCCAGAATAGTTTATTATGCTCTTGTTAATATTTAATATATTCTAATCTGAGTAAAATTAGAAAACTTTATAATTCTAACCTTACTAAAATCGATATATAAATTTAAATCGCATTTCAATTAATATTTAATTCCAATGCCGCTACAATCAATACAAGATTCCAACTTAATTATAAGTGATGTACAATTCTAAACTCTCTTCAGTTGCTATAGGATGCCAACCTCATTACAGTACAAACAATATATTTCCTAACTATAGGACAATCGCTAAATCTTTACCGTCCTTCAACGCCAAAACCATCAATATATAATTCCAACATGGGGTGTGTAATGACTGAGGTGCGTGATGAATGAAGGTATGTGATCACCTGGGGTGTGTATGATGACTGGGGGTGTCAAGACTCGGGGGTGTGATCGACTTGTTACAACTTCCGAGGAGTCATCAAGGATCCTCGTACGTCCTAGTGTGTGTGTGTGGATCATTTTTCTAGATTTGTGATTTTATTCCCACTGAAAGATAAAACAGCCGAATTTGTGGCATATGACATAGTTATTCATCTCATATATCCTTTTACTACTCCCAAGGTTCTTCTCTATGACAACAGATTAGAGTTCAAGAACCAACTTGTAGCGCAAATATGTCAACAATACGACATCCAACAAAGCTTTATCGCAGCCTATCATCCACTGGCTAATGGCCTTGTTGAAAGAACCATTCACAAACTCCTAGAGATTCTTCGTCCAATAGCCAGTCAAATGCACTATGCACGGGAAGATTGGTTACCTAAAGTCGCCGCATCTATTAATGGGTCGATCAACAGCTCTACAGGCAAATCACCCTATTATATTGTTTACGGCATAGATAAACGTCTACCTTATGACGTACTTACAGACAAGTCATGCCCAGTCTATAATGTGAACGATTTCACCACCAGGCAAATCAATGTATTTACGGATATTCATGGCCAAGTACGTAAACATTTAGCAGCATCATGCGCTGAAATGATATACAAGCAACATAAACAAGCTAAGCCCGTCTTGCTAGAAATAGGCGATGCTGTTATGGTGCGAGAACCTGAACGAAAGTCCAAGCTTTCACCCAAGTTTGACGGACGTTTCCGCATTATTGCTAAAGAAGCGTACCATAAATTAAAAATTTTGAAGCCAAACTCACAAACTTCAGATGTTCTGCATGCGGACAGACCTAAAAAGGTCCATTCAGATTCATTCCCCAGGAATGATAATGATGTCCCAGACATCGATGTCCTTGACACAACTGTTCAAACAGCAAACATGTCAAATACACCCAGTTTATCTGATGATTATTGATTAAATCTACTTTCTGCAAAACGTATATAATAATGCCCCTAGCATTTCTACAATGATAGTGACACAAAAAAAAATTGTGAGTCTAATCATTTATTAATTTATTTTTTAATTAATTCAGTGCCTACACTGGATTTATTCATTTCTTTTTCCAAGCATTTTGCATGCTACAAAAACTTCAGCTCAAGCTGTATCAATTAACAAAAACGAATTAATTGCAAGTATGGTTGATGCAGGGTTAGGACGAGTGGATGCACAGCATGTGTATGTGAAAGTTCTTCTTAAAGCCTTTCAAATAGCCAAGACGAGTTATCTGTTAACTCCAATTTTCGCAGACGAGGAGGTAGAATAGTATATATCCTTCTGTTAGAGTCAACTCTCACGCACTATGCTTTCCCCATCCACGTAACTGTGCTAGTGCAAAGCCAATTAATGCATGGCTTTAGAACCTTTCCATACTCTGATGATGCACTGTTTACTCTGGATATACCAACTATACCAACCGATCTTTTACTAATAGATGAAGATTACTCTTTGTTAGAAGTGAATGATTTTAGGGTATTATCACGGTGTAAGTCGTCATGTATGCATTTACACATATGCCCAGCATATGTGTGTGCATTTATTCTGCTGCAGACGGAATATGCGAATTGGCTATCATACAAACTAACGTTTGCACAGTGCTGAAACAATGTAACTGTACACCGATTTTCCAGGAAAGCTGTGTTTCATGCTCATCTACATAATGTTCATTATATATCTACTTCATTTTAGTCCATATAACACTCGGACTTGAACATATAATCATGAACGCATCAGCCAGGACTCGAACCTTAGACCTTATGTGAGTGACCAGGGAATGCTACCGACCATGCCACAAGGACACTATAAGCAATTCTAGACTATATTTTATTTCATACAAAGCTGATGGCGCCGTGAACCTCCCATTGCGGATTGCCCGTGCCACTTATGTGGTGGGAGTAGCATTTTACAGAATCCAGCTGGTATGAAACACGAGGTACCATATATACTTTATTTTAGTCCATATAACACGCGGAATTGAACATACTGCATAATCAACGACCTCTACCAGTAAGCCGACCTTGAGAATGTAGGGTTAGCTCAGTCTCTCCTTCAGGGCCTCCTCTGACAAGCACCAGTCTTCACTTGAGTTTCACGAGAATGAGACGAGTGACCTAACTCAGTCAAGCTGAGCCCGTGTCTTTAACTAACACTCACAGCTTACAGTGTTAATTACAATGCATCTACGAATAGACTGTGACCAATATAGTTTTATCAATAACTGGAGAAAAGACAATTTTTGGGTTTTTAACTTAATCCCTCAACTTATTTAAATATAAGCCAAGTTAAGGGAACTCTACCCAAAGCTTATATATTGCCGGAGTAATTTATAACATCCTCGTCTCACAGTGAAGCTTCTAGGCGATTCATCAGGGCAGACCACTACAACGGACAGCTCCTGTAGGAAATCAACGGACAGCTCCTGTGGGAAATACAAATACACAGTACCCTGGATCTCTTCTAAAAGTATACTGTCAAGGTGTCTGTTAAACAAACGACATGACTGTATTTTTTTTAATTTGTGACTACGTCCATCTCACAGCTTGAATAAGGCCCGGCTATATTGACTCGTGTGGGATAACAAATAAGATCACTTGACTCCTTCTGGCATGTGGCATATGCTGACACCACGAGAGACCTATCTTGGGACAGCAGGATAGATGTGGAAACGTTAGTTATTATTACACTTTGACCATTCTCTGCACTAGGGAAGGGCGTAATGTCGAATTTCCGGAACTCATGTTAATCCACGAATGGCAGATGCAACATAATTTGGTCGGGTGTGACAGAAACAGAGAGAAGACTAATAATTTTCCAACCTAGCCACAGGAACAGCAGGTTTTAGGTTGAGAAAGCTAGTAGCAACCCCTACAACCCTAGCTAATTCAATGAATGGCAACAAAGCGGGAGCTACAATTTCCCTGTACAACAAGTTAAGATTGGTAACAAAGGAGACATAATAATTACAATAATACTCTACTTGACTTGACAGTGAGTCTATCCTAGTGGTGATGAAGAATTGCTTTTCCAAGGAATTTAGAGAAAGTGAGTTAAGGTTAACCTTATTCATCAACTGGTTGACAGTCTTTTTGATTTCACCGACCTTCTTACTATGATTAGCTAACAGATGAGATTGGTTGGACAGAATTGCGGAATTCTGGTCGGCCTGTTGTTTAAGCACTGTTATCGCCACACATAATTGTTCTCGAGGGCCTCATGTTAAGTGGAGAAACTGTTTACAACTCAGAATAGCTTACTAAGCGACATGGAGCTGGTAGCAGCTGTGTGAATGCCTGAGGGACAGTCTATCGCCCTCTACTGTATAGGCAACATCTTGATTCTCGTCAGCCAACATTTTTCTTGCCGGACATTACATTTGTTCTCGTTGGTCTAACCCTAGACCCCAAAACTTGAGTGTGATTTTGAACTGTTGAATCATCTGAGAACTCTAAATAACTTTAATAAGTGTAATTATGTACTGTATATTGATGGTATTATTCAAACTGTGTCCTGATGTACAAGCAGTTGTTATATGTGAATTGTATTCAACAGGTTTTGACAGAATTATACTCATCGCATCAACGACAAGGGTCTTATTGTCCTGCACAAACCAAAATCGCTCCTGTGAGCGATTACAGTCAAACCGTGGGATAGAACCATCGTGGAGCGTCATCACAGGGAGGAAGAGGACCTATGTAAGAAAGACTGGACTTCGTGTCAATATTGTTCAGACGATCGCGAGAGAGTGTTAGCGTTCATTACGGACAGGCCGTGAGGACCCGTGTCAGATAGGAGCGGCCTCAGTGTCAATAATATTGACATGTGGGAGAGATAGTGATCAAAGTGTACAGCCAGACTAGATCGCCAAGTTTAAGAAGGCTTGTGTGTGTGTGTAAATAAGAAATAAGAATGAGTGAAGTGCGCTCTCTGTTAGGAAATAAAGGGTTGTGGCAGCTAGGTAACATTGTGTAAGTAAATAAGGGCGCCGCAGTAGTGTTTGTAACATCGTTTGTGTAATGAGTCCCTACATTGATTGTGGGGTCTCTGTGGTCGTGTTAAGTGTGATATAACTCGTGCGTATGGCACGTCACGTATTTGAAGGACATCGCTCGCGCGTATGACACGTGTTTGTGTGATATCACTCGTGCGTATGCCACGCGCTTGTGTGACGTCACTCGTGCGTGACGTTCCATCCGTTATCAATTAGTATTATATAAATATAAGCTAAGGACATATATTCATTATATACATTCTATCACCCAGACTATTGAGCATACAGCTACATTAAGCATTTGTTCTGTCACACCTCCTAGGGTGGACAGCACATAAACATTTGTTGTTTCACACAGATTCAGGTTACAACCCATAAATATATGTCCTCAGGCCTCCATGAGAGTAAGCCTGTGGAGTGTAGCCTCTTATCTCTATGTTGACGTATAGATTACATACTCCTTACAACCAGACAGAGAGAGGTTCGCCTAGTTCACAGTTTCCCACAGTTCACCAGTTCACAGCCAGACGCCGTACCAAAGAGACGTGTGTGAGCATCGTTCCCAGGCTGAATATCTCTCTAATTATATAAGCTAATTACAAGATAATAGCTAATGCTCAGTAGTCTGTCAACAAACAATTCTGTAACTACCAGAGCATCCAATATAACTTGAAAATCACCACGTGTGTTTACATTAAACCAAGGAACCACAAATGAAGATAACAGAACCTGTGTACACTTGTGTATACTTACAAGCTAAGATAATTACAAATGTAACCCAGGTTGGCTGGGACGACTAAACGATTCAACGACTGTATCAAAGGTGACATGCCGTGAGATTACCTATTATCTCACCCAGCTTCATTAAAGGTACCAGCGACTACTCTACACTCATTCAGGCAAGTGTTAACAAGTGAGATCGTTTGATATCAAAACCCGGCCCAAACAGTATGGCACTGTTTGTTTGAAGTCACTCGTGCGTATGGCACTTTTTGTGTGACGTCATTCGCGTGTCTGGCACTGCGTGACTTCACTCGTGCGTATGGCATGAGTGAGTGTGTCACTCGTGTGTATGGCACTGTTTGCGTGACGTCACTAGTGCGTATGACGCTGTTTGTTTGAGGTCACTCTTGCGTATGGCACTGTTTGTGTGACATCACTCGTGCGTATGGCACTGTTTGTGTGACGTCACTCGTGCGTATGGCACTGTGTGATGTCATTCTTGCGTATGGCACGCGTCAGTGTGACAATTCCAATTGTGTGATATCAGCGATCGTGGGACGTCACCATGAGTAGTAGCTGATACTAAGCGTTACTGCATACATTTATCGAGGAAGACAGATCACGCTCGTTGTTCTGGCAGTCATGGACATTGAAGGGAATAAGCCACTGAGACACCGGCTGATGCAGCATCACACTTCACAGATGGCTCGGTGGACCCAAAACATCATAGATCCGGAGCGGCCTTCTACACCCAAGGTCAGACCCTCCTATGGAGACTCTTTAATGACGTCTCCACCCATCAAACAGAGTTGGCAGCAATCTCATAGGCCCAAACTAACCACATTCACCACCTTCCCCGGGTCATTACATGATACCCACCACCCAGATAGCTTAGGAAATATCCTCCCCAGCAAGTGCGGACCCCAGTTTGAGGGCGCGCCACTCCGAAACTGACCACGTCCAAGAGTGGGGTTGGTGGTAAGCGTTTACTGACCGAGGGTCTGCTTGCACTTGCAAACCTGCGGTATCCTTTCATATCTGCAGGTAGGACAACCTCCATCCCCAATCGCAAATCCGGCCTGGCTGCTCCAAGAGCTCCAGCCGGAACCACCAAACGGGCCGCCTGCAGGTAAAGGCCTGTGTCGGACTACGCTCCGACAATCTCAACAACAACAGAAGATCGTGGAAAGGTGTTATCACTACCAGA